TCGACCCCCGGGACACGTCGCGTCTCCGCGCGGCGGCCGACCGGCTGCCGCCGCCGTCGTCGTCGCCGTTGCCGTCGGAAACGCCGGTGGATCTTCCTTTCGTTCCGGGCTGATTTCGCGCGGCCGCCGACAACGCGGTGATCTATCAAACGCCGATGATCTCGCCGGGGTAACAAATCGCCCCAGCGATCCTCCACGACGGGTCCCTCCGGATCGTATTAGCAAATCGTCGTAACGGCTGCGTGCGCGAGATCCGATTCGCGACGGTTCCATCGGCGATCGCCGATCAGCGCTCATTATCTCATCTCGTAATCGTTAAATCTCATTTGCAAACATGTTAACTTTTCGATCGCCCGGCGCGCTCGGAGAGTGTTACCGAGCCGCGAGATCGTTTCGCAATTGAGGAAACGATAACAGTCTAATGTTAGCTGATATGTACCTTGGGCTTCGTACTCTACGACATACGTGAATTTTTTTACAGAATCATGATTACGGCTGTTAGGAATGTCCTGGCATTGATTGACAAGGATATCGGCACTTGAGGAACGTTCGAGGGACGATTTATAATTCCGGATGAGGAAATATTTGCGATATAAAGATATTCAAGATGATATTGCAAGTGTCATTGTTATCTGGAAATCTGTATCATCATTAATGGAATTAGATCGTTTACAACATAAAAGTTATTGCCAATCTCTATTTTATTTCAGATCAATCAATCTTATTTGTGTTAGAATTCCTGATGGAATGATTTGAAATATTACGTCCCGATTAAATCTTATTGCAATTTATTAAATATGCAACCAACCTTGCCTCGGTCTTCTTAATCTTAATAGAACATCGAAATTAACATGATGTTGGTATATATTTAATAATTTCTAATACGTCATATGATACAAGATAAATGTCACTTACTATCGTAAAGGTGCAAATTTACGATATAAATCTCGCGTGATTCGAAGCTTAAATAATCGATTATCGTTTTATATTTGAAAAAAAGTTCAGAACCCTTCGATTTAATTTTAGGTTGCAACTTGCTCTATCCGGTGCTCTTAGATGCTAAATGATTTATACGGTATTTCGAGAATGCGCTTTATATCGAGCCTATTCCTCTCACAATTCGCGTAACACGAGGAACGTCACATTCTTATTGTCGCTTTTCTCGTCACGTTACGAGATTCCAGGACCTTTATATTTTATCCGAAAGAAGGGTCTTGGGTCATTAATCAATTCGTACGATACAGACCTATCTTCCGAGGCATCTCCTTCGTGAAAAATATTTTCTGACGACCACACATTTCTGCGAACGTGTGTTTCTTTCGTCAGGTCGCAAAATTCCCTCACGGATCTGTCCCATTTGATTATCCTGTTAGACAATCCGTGCGTCGTACCGGGTAGAGGGGAGGGGGAAAATCTTTTCATCCCTTTCGTAAAGCCGACTCTCCTGTTATGATACACGTTCCTAGGAAACGGCACGTTCCCGTGGTCGCTTTTCCCGTCACGAAATTCCTTTGGGACCTTTGGCACGAGGAGGACCCTCGGTACAGGATACTCGTCGTAAGGCCGGGCGCGGAATGAACGCTGACGGTAAGTCAGTTCTTCGCATACCGAGCACTCAGGTAGGTAGGTAGGTAGGTAGGTAGGTAGGAAGAAGCACACAGCGGAGGAGGAAGATGAGGAGGGAAAGGGAGCGTGAGGTGTGCGAAGGAGGAAGAGGGAAGGAGAGAGAGAGAGAGAGAG